CAAGCTTGATGGTAAGCGCACCGGCGGCGGTTGGCGCGGACACCCCCCCTCACCCCCCGCCGTTAGCTCCCGCCTCTGTGGCGGAGGGGAGAGGAGAGCCGCTACTAACGGCAGGGAGGGGGCTTGTCTCCGCCGGCGGATCCGCCTGGGTGTCGATGGGATGCCCGGTCTGCGGGAGGCAGGGCCGGGCACGCTGCTGGCCCAGTCCCGAGAAGCGGAGGACGCGTGCGGGGGGATGGAGCCGCGCTGCAGCGGGAGCGGCCTCTGCCCGCGCTCCGCCTACCCCCGTCTGGGCGCGGGGGGCTCGGAACCGGGCCCTGGGGTTGGCGGCTTTGTCCTGCCCGCGCTGCGGTTGGCAGCGCTTCGCTCAGAGCGGGCGTTTGTTCCGGTCCTGGAAAAGTACCGCACTGAACGCCCCAGGCCATACAGTACGTGCTGAGCGGGTGAGTATGGCTCTGGCGGCGCTGGGTGAACGTCCTTGAGCTTCTGAGGGGTGCCACGGCTGTGAAGAATTGCCTTCTAGGAGTATTTTGAAAAGGAAGTCTGCGATGTGTTGTGTTGTTGTCTGTTAGTCTGAGCTGTGGATACTGCAGAGTGGAAAGGAAACAATTCACATCTCTTAAAGGAAATATTTGCAATGAAAACACAAAAGCTGTGCAGCTCAAGAAACTGGGGCTTTAGGGTAGGGCCTGCCTAAATAGATGTGCTTTCATAACTTATATTGAACCTGTTGTAAACAGAAATTTTCAGATAAAGCGGTCTGTACTAAAATTGAAGGACAATGTGGAAGATCAGCATCCAGATCAGATCTGTGATTCTCTTGTATGTCTGTATGTGGAAAAATGACTCTAAGATGCACTTTCTGCACACCTGCACTCACAGATGTACCGTGACAGTCACGTTGTATTGCTGAGGTGTGGTTACAGTTGACAAGTGGTGGGTTTGGCAAACTGGCTTTGATAAGAAAATCCCCTTAAGATATCGCCACATTTTCCTCACCCATTCTGTGTGCCACACAAAATGCTCCGAACTGTCAGACCACGGTTTAAACTTCATGTCTGAAGTGATCAGGAGAGAAAAAAATCATCTTTGGGAGACTGGAAAAAGTCAGTTTTAACCCTGATCATTTCAGTGATGAAGATTAGTGTTAGGTGAGTGGGTGGGCAGTGGCAGGAACACGGGCAGTGGTGAGGAGGGAGGCAACGTCCATAGCTGGTGAATCACAGGTACCCTCGGGTGTTCCTGGAAGCCTGGTGAGCTGCAGAGTTGATGCTGAAGCTGGAGGCAGTTACTTGAATGTAGTGACTTGTTCCTTTGTGGGCAACAACGTCGAGCAAGTAGTGTAGAGAGGACGAATTCAGACTTTATTTACTGTGGTAACTTTGGCTTGTGGCTGCAGACAGCATCTGGCATATTTATGGCAGTGTGAGTGAGCTCTGGTTCACAGGCTGCTCCTGAACTTTGTGTAGCTGCACTGACTTTGCTCTTAGTATGGTCCCTCTGGGTGTCTTGATTGTATTTCTGAACTGCAGTGTCTACTGTCAAGAGGTTGGTGTCATTCTGTTAGTGGTACTTTTAAAACACTTTAAACACTTATATGGCACTTGATTTAAAATGTTGTGTGTCTGGCTCTTTCAGATTGCTCCACAAATTATTAAATTACTGGAAGTCTCTATGTGTCTAAGTAGATGGTTGAGTGGTGTGATCCAGAGTTCCCTGATAAGTGTCATTGCTTATGCTGTAAAGATATGAGAGATACGACCTAGGATAGCTGTAGTAGAAGGGATCAGATTTGCTTAATTACATGAGATAATTGTCTAGCTGCTCAAAATACAGCTGCAGCAGGATAATTACTGTGTCTACAGGTTCCCTTGGCTGCTTTATGTGTGTGTGGGGGATTGCCTTCCCATTCCTCATAGCCAGAGCGGTTGATGCCTTCTGGATTTTGTGTTTTCACCTGTATTTTATTAGTTCTAGATATAGATAAGACCATTGATTGAAAGTACAGCCATTGCAGATGCTTTGCTTGTTAACTACCTGCATTGTATTAATCTGCCTTTCTCATGTGGTGGGGTATCTTTTTAAACTCTGTCAGATTTCAAATACAAATCTGTACAGTGAATAAGAGCCAGTAATTCATTTCACAGGCCAAACACAAGAGGGAAGTCTCTTAAAACACATAGTTCAGTAACGAACGTGCTACCAACAGCTCTGTGTGTGGGGTTGTGGGTGTCAGGTAACTATTCTTTTACTCATTAATGCAACTCGGGCCTCAGGACTTTTTCGTGCCTTTCATTAAATCAGCTTTTGTATCTGTTTGATGCTCTGTTCACTGTTTCTGAAGACAAAGCCTTGAATTTTTGTTTGTTCTTTGAAAATATGCAGGGTCTAAAATTTTTACTGTTCTTTATTCAGACTTTTTACTATTGTGTATGCAGTTGAAGCTTTCCTTTCACCTGCTGCAGAGACCTCACGTTTTTTCCCCCAGGCTGTGTCTGCACTAGAGGTTTCCCCTGGCATAGATGCGCTGGCCAACTGTGTGACTGACTTGTTGGCAGAAGCCCTTAGCGCAGGTTGGGAAAAGCTGAACTACTTTTGAGATTCCTTCTCCTGTAAGCCCAGCTCCTTAACAGTCCAGTGAAGTGTATTGGACCGGTTAAGTGCTGATGATAGAACTGCATCTATGGGTGACTCAAAGATCGGGAATTTAAACTGGATCTTTAATCACAGAAGTTGTCATTGTTTGTTATAATTTAGATAGAATGTGTTTTAGTTACTCAGTAACTGCAGGTGTCTTTTACATGCTCTCTTAGTTTATAGTGAATGTTGCATAACTTAAATTGAACTGCTTTACATTTATTGCATTAATTGATACCCAGTTGACTGTTCTTTTACTCTCTGGTAGCTTCTTGCCAGGTTTTTAGCCTTCTTGTCTGACAGGAGCAAGTGCTGGTTAGTCAGTGAAGTAATGTGTTGGTTACTTTGGTATTTTTTCTCCTTAAGTTGAAATCACTTCCTTATCCAAGTCTGTGATAGTCCAAATCTCACACTTTAACTCTTTCAGCAAGTTTGTAGGCTAATCCTGTGTGCTTGGTATGCAGGGAAGCATTAAGCAGAGGTTCTTGAAATTGTTAGTCAGCCGTGTAGTGCAGACAGAGCCGTTTGGGTCCACAGCAGTTCACTGTCTTTGCACATTCTCTTCTGAGCTGGATACAGCCCCCGAGTGCAGTGGTGGGTGACCACGGCCAAGCTCTTTGGCTTGTGTGGTGGGCACATAAGGGGATCAAGAGACAACTAGTGCATGGCTTCTTTCCAGTATCTATTTTAATAGCAATTGCTGAATGTTGCCTACCTCACTGCTGTGACATTTTAGATCACAATGTGAAAAAATTAAACCCCTTTCTTTAGATACTTATCTTGATACTTTGAATTAATCTAAGCAAAGTATGTAAAAAAGTAATTTCTGTTGTACTGTGCACCTGTTGTCTAATAAATTTCACTGCTGACCTACTGTAAGTCTGTGTTTCATGCCAGCTGTAGTGGACAGGTGTAGAAAACTCTTGAAGGTTTGTGTAATAGTAGCAGAACAATTGTTGGACTCTTGCAGCTCATGTGCAGCTCACTTATTCATGGTAGGCGTGAATGGCCAACATCTAAAAGGAAGGTGGCTATGGAGAACAATGACAAATTGTACTGTAAACTTGAGCTTAGTCATTTCAAACTATAATACATCCTTGCTTGGCCCTGAACTTACATCTTAAGCTCATGTGGACATACTTTTTCTCATAGCAGATTTAATGCTAAGGAGAGTCTTAAAACCATTTATGCTTGGTTATCGAGTTTCAGTATGGGTCTAAGACCTGAGATTAATGTTAGTCAAATAAAAGAGGAAATATCAGTATTCAGTAACAGCAGGGATTCAGAAAACAACACTTTTTTGGTACCTGATTTCATCAAGAGAGCCCTCTTGCTTGGAGAGGAAGAAAGAGGTCTAGAGACCAGGGTGCTGGGGTTTTTTTGGCGTTGCTGAATTAAGATGGCTGAAACAGTAGACCCCCTCTGTGTCATCTGTCAGACAAGGGCTCACACAAATCCTTTTCATCCAAAAGAAACTGCTGAAACTTGCTGCTCATGCTTCAGTTGTGAATTGCTGTCATCATTGGCTGGCAGCAAATTTCTTGTTCTGCTTTAAAAACTAGTCTCAAATACCTTAAGTTCTGAACTGCTAGTTTAACCATGTTGGTTACTAAGGTTTATTATTCTCAAGGCTGGCAGTCTGTTGCTGTTTGTATGCAGTTTCTGACTGTTTTCTGAGGAAAGCACAGTGCTGAGGTTAAAGTAATGGTTAAGAAATTTTTGTCAGTGCTGTCCAGTCTTTAGATAGTTATCAGTCTGCTTGTTTAGTTACCTAGATAACTGCTTCTCACACAAGTGTCCTTTGGCTTAAACTCTGGTTTAATACTCATTAGTGAACAGTTGCTGAAAGCAGTCCTAGGTGCTGAGATGTTACTTTTTATGTAACTACAGATAAGTTGTGGGCTATTTGTTTCTGGTGCCTTGACACGTAATTGATTATGAGCTTCTATTAATTTTACTGAACTGGTTTGCTTGTTGCACAGATTTTTTTGACCAGAAGATGACAAACTCTTGAGAGTTTTTCTTGCTCTATATGGGCCTTCACCTTAAGGACAAAAACCATCCAGAATGGCAGTAAGTCAGGTCAGGAGGAGCAGTGAAATTGGAAAAGAGTGTCTAGAATTATCATATTTGCAAGAAAATAGAGGAAGAAGGTGTGACGTTTTTTGATTACTTGTGC